TCTATGAGGAGTCTGAACACCTTGTCACTATGCCCTTCCCAGCATATAGCTGTTACACTTAATTATCAACAAAATTGAGGAAAGAATATCAAAAGACATCCCAGTGGATTACCTGAATGTCAAATGTCTTCTCTGCCCTAGCTTTATAACAGAAACCCCATGTCTTTTGGATGAATTACCCACGCCAGAAGCCACAGTGACTTCTTTCCTTGTGCTGGCCTCATAAGCAGTCACAAAGTTCAATGGGACTCTGACTTTGTCTCCTGGTAGAAGCGTCCACCTCTGGGAACCAGGACCTTTAGCTTCTGGTTCTGGCACCTTCCTCCTAAGAACCCCATAACCCATCTTACATGAAGAACACTTGTGGAGGAAACTATCTTAGACTACATGAGGGAGTATCGATGCTTTGATTGCACCCAGGACAGTACAGTAGCTGATGGAATTGTTGGGCAGGGATACAAACTTTCCACCCAGGTGATTGACAAGAGTAGATTCTCAGACACAAAGGGGATGATCAGTTCTGTATATCTTCCATTTGCCCAAATGTATCCATCTTCTCTCTCGGTGCACCCAGGAAGGTTAGTCAAGATGAACTACATCAATGGGCTTTCTTGCCTTATGGCTTTTGGCTGAGTTTGGTCAATGGGGAGCCTAGACACGAAATCAGAAGGATCAAAGAGAATGGCTTCTGGTCTTGGCTGTCTCTTGCAGGAGAACCTGGAGAGGGATACTAGCCCTGACCTCCTCTCAGCTCCTGGAATGCAATTTCCTCCTCTCTTGTCTCTGGACTTCAATAATCGTTCCCTCTTTTTGCCCCTTCAGGCTTATGTGTGCTAATAGAGACCTGCCCTTACCAGCTGTGTACCAACCACCTTTGTGGTTTTCCTACATTCTGTCCACAACTCTGAGTAGCCCCTTTGTGAAAACTCTACTAGAATCATCCTAGTCTCAGTGTGTCCACTGTTTCCTGCTGGGACTCTGACTGATATGCTGAGTCACTGAAAGGATAAGTAAAAGTCCTAATAGTGAGCCATAAAACCCAACCAGATCAGGACCCACCAAGTCTCTAACCACATCATCTTCTTCCACTCCCACCTGGTCCCCAACATGATGTACTCCAGTCACACTGGCCTCCGTGTTGTGGGCCTTTGCATGCCAAGACTGTTCGTGCCACACAAATTCATACGACTCACTGTCCCAACTCATTAAAGTCTCCATTCAAGTGCCCCTTAACTAAGAGCCTTCCCCTTCCTATTCTATATAAAATAGCAAATCTCAATCCACCTTAACTATCTTAGAATGCTTATGTTTTCTGCATGACACTTACAACATATTTTCTTGAGTTTTCTATAATCTGTCCCTCCTCTATTGGAACATAAGTGCTTTAGAACATTGCAAAACTGGAGTTTCATTCATTGCTATAGACACCAGTGTCTCAAACAGTGCTTGGCATATAGAAAATACTCGACAAATAGGCTGGTGGTGAAGAATGCTGACTGTCTGGTTCCAATCTGGGCTCTACTATTTACTAGTCAGTAGCTTGGGTGAGTAACGTAAGTGTACCATGCCAGTTTTCTCATTTGTAAAATGGGGATAATAATAGTACACACTTAAGCTTATATTGAGTACTCGGTAAGTTAATACTCAAAAGGCATTTAGAAGACTGCCTGGTTTATGAGAAAGGCTTTATAAATGTTTGGTCATTTATTAATGTATTGAAATACTTTGCTATGAAAAAATATGGCCCCTACATAAAAGGAACAATTCATAAGAAAATATGTAATCCTGTATGTACTTAGTTACGTTACATGCAAATATATACAGAAAATATGAAGGAATTACAGAAAAGAATTTGTTAATCCATAACTGTAGTGGAAGACTTTAATACACATCCATCACTAAGTAAGTTTGAGGAAAAAAATCTTAATGTACATACTATATCCAAAAACACAATTTGCTTGAGTTAATGGGCATAGACTCTATAACCAAACATTAGAGAATACACATTGTTTTCAAAGAAACATGGAACATGTATAAAATTTGACCAATGATTAAGTTTACCAGTTAGATACTGGATTCAGCTAGACATTAACAGAATGCCACCTCAAAAACAAACCAAAAATATCACTTTGGCTTCAACCAGTTACAGGTTCCCTTTAATCATGTATGGAGGAGTCTAGGAATAAGCCGTCCGGAGCTGACACAGCCAATCAGAGGCTTTTGGGGAGCACACAGCATTGTGATTTTTTGCCTCACTGTGGTTTTTGTCATCATGATCAAAATATAGCTCTTCCAACTCCAGGCTTTGAGTCCACTTTTAAGAGAAAGAACATGTGAGAGGAATAGGAAATAGGTGAGGTGAACAAACCAGATGATGTCCCCCCAGTGGCTTCTACCTACTTCTCATGGCCAGCAGAGGGGGACAACACCTCTATGGGCTTCAGGGAAGCCTCGTAGATTGAGTATTTTCAATTCTGCTCATCGACAATTTGAACACAATGTTTTTTTCTTTCAGTAAATAAGTCAGGAAGCATGGACACTGGGAAAGAAGCTAAAAGTAATTCCCATACTAGGATGGAAAGACAAAAAAGAATCAACATCATAAGGTCCACATACTTGACAAAAACGCCATTAAATTAGAAGTATATAGTAACTACAGCCTAATTTCCATGATGATAAACTAAAATCACTCAGGAGATATTCAGAAATACCTTTTTGAATATGCAGTATACTGATATTTTTAAAGAGTAAATGATAAACATATTATATACAAATCTATGAAACATAATTAAGGTTATTTTGGGGTATAGTTACTGATGAATGTTTATACTAAAACAAAAAGACTGAAAATTAATGAGCTAGTGGTCCAACCTAAGGATTAGACACCATTAAAGATAATCCAACAGTCATAATGTCTACACTTTTCATTCCCAGTTTAAATTATTTCGTGGCCACTCCGTGAAGAGCTGAGGCTGAGGCATCCTCAAACTGATCACATTCCTAGGGTTCCCCTTCAGTGTGAGTTCTCATGAGTCAACAAAAACCTGAATCACTGAAACATTTTCCAAAATTAACACACTCACAGGTTTTGCATCAAGGGAGAATTTCACAGTTTTCCTAATGTAAGGGGTATCATTAAAGGCATTCCCTCTTTCTTTATATTCACAAGTTTCTTTGCAGTGAGCTGTTTACAAAGAATCTGGAAAAATGAAAGGCTTTCCAATACTGATGACATTCAATGGGATCTTCTCTCCAGAATACTCACATCTCTTAAAAATTGAGAGAATGTTCTAGGCATTCCCATAGTAATTGCATTCAGAATACCTCACCATCTTTTGCTAAGTAATTTGAACACTTGTGCTGTAGGGTTTCCCCCATTCCTCTGGAACACATCCCACATTCCTCTGTAGGAGGAACACTCCTACAGAGTGTTCCTCTGTAGTGATTTCTCACGTGTGTTCTAAGGGATGAGCGTCTCTGAAGCTTTCTGCATTCTGATGATATTCATAAGGTTTTCCCTTTAATGTGAATTATCATGTGACTCCCTAGAGATATCACTGAAGGCTTTTCTATAGCTACTGCATTCCTTGGGCTTTTCCTCAATACATAATCTTTTGTGCACATTGGGCTGTGTCTGAGCTGAAGGCTTACCATGAAGACCGCACTCATGAGGTTTCTCTCCAGAGTGAATTAACATGAGTGTTACTGAATGCTACTTCATATCAAATAGATTGAACGATGAGGGTGCGCCTTTCTTCACTGATTTCATGGCAAGCTTCTCAGATGGTTCCCAACAATCTCTGTCTCCGGGCATACATACCTTGTGTAGTTTCTTCCCACACTGTATCAGGATTGGCCTGTGTGACCAATACAATATGGAAGACGTGATAACATGTCCTTCTGAGGCTAGGTCATAAAAGATAATGTGGCTTCTGCATTAGCTCTTCCTTAGACCAAATGTTTTGAGGGGAACCTGCTGCTATACCATAAATATACTTAGCCCTGTGGAGAGTCCCATACGGTAAGGAAACTGAAGGTTCCCTCCCAACAACCAGCACTAACTTGCCAGCCATGCATAAGCCATTTTGCGAGTGGACTCTTCAGCAATGACTCAGATGACTGTAGCTCCAGCTGACACCTTGACTGAAACCTCATGAGAGATCCTGAGCCAGAACTACACAGCTAAGCTATTTCTGAATTTCTGACCTACAGAAATTGTGAGATAATAAATGTACGTTGTTTGAAGCCACTATGTTTTGGAGGGAAATCTGTTATGCAGCAACAGATAACTCATACACCTAGTGTGAGTTACCACAAGCTGTGAGGGCTAAGATACCAATAAGTGCTTTTCCAGTTATTATATTTGGTTCTAGGTAGTTTCACCATAAGCATCTTCACTGTAAACATCTTTGCCACAAGCATTTTCACAGTGTAACTAATTGGCTATAAGGCAATTTTGCCATAAAAGATAAAATAACTGGTTGACAAATAAGACAAATATTTAAGTGTAAAGATACAAATAAGAGAGTGTAAAGGCAGATTACACACTATACTGAAAATAATCAGTTTGCAAACCCTTCAGTAAACATAGTCATCCCTCCTACATTTCCTATAGAACACTGGAATGTCTATGAATGGCAGTGTGACAATACTGCATTTCACAACGCAATACAAATATGCATCCTAGTACTTGGAAACTGATACCTCTCTTAAGGAAGGAAGAAATTTTAGCAAAAAAGAAAGTGCGATGCCACATGAGGAGAACAAATTATGGTGTAGTAGATTCATGGCAATACTGTGCAAATAACTGATTTTATTTTGTGGATTGGTAAGCATTTGTCCTCCAAGGCTTCTATTCATAGTATTGTGCATATTTTTGTTTGCTTGTTGATTTGTCTTCTTGTAAGATATATATCTATATATATCTTATATATCAACTTGGCATTACCAAATTACCAAAAATTACCAAAAGACAAAAATGAAACCAAACTGTGAACCACTTATTTTATCTTTTACGGCAAAACTGCCTTATGGCCAATTAGTTATGCAGAGAAAATGCTTAGAGCAAATATGTTTACAGCAAAGATGCTTATGGCGAAAATACCAGACACAACTGTATTCATATCCACCTATTATGAATTCTTTTATGCACAGAAAGGTAAGAGTTAGTGGTGAACGATTTCCCACAGTGATTGCATTCATACGGTTTTTCTCCAGTGTGAGTTCTTACGTGTTTCTTAACAGCTGAGAGATTATTAAAAGCTTTCCCACAGTCACTGCACTCGTAGGGTTTCTCCCCTGTATGAATTCTCTTGTGCACAGTAAGAGAAAAGCTACTGCTGAAGGATTTTCCACACTGATTACACTCATAGGGTTTTTCTCCAGTATGAGTTCTCATGTGCTGTGTCAGATATGAGCTCTTTCTAAAGGTCTTCCCACAGTCGTGACATTCATAAGGTTTCTCCCCTGTGTGAATACTATTGTGCCCTGTAAGGGATGACCTTGTGCTGAAGGCCTTTCCACACTGATTACATTCATGGTGATTCTCTCTTGTATGAATTCTCTTGTGGCTTTTGAGGTTACAACTAGTGCGGAAGACATGAAAACACTGGTTACATTCATAGGGCTTTTCTCCAGTGTGAATTCTCACATGCAGTCTTAGGGATGAGGGATCATTGAAGGCTTTCCCACAGTCACTGCATTCATAGGGCTTCTCCCCATTATGTATTCTCTTATGAATAGTAAGGTAAGATCTACTGCTGAAGGATTTGCCACACTGATTACAGTCATAGGGCTTTTCTCCAGTATGAATTCTCTTGTGCTGAGTAAGGTTAGATTTGGTGCTAAAGACTTTAAAACACTGATTACACTCGTTGAGTTTCACTCCAAGATGACTTCTCCCCTGTTGATTAAGAGATCAGTGATAACTTTAATTTATAATTTTTTAATATTCAATGCTGTCCTATGTCCTATAAATTCTCTCCCATGGATTCTGTTAATTATAACTGATGGTCTGGTTATTTTCAGTGATCGTATATGGCTTCTGCCCAGTTTGAGCCCTTAGAAGTCAAAAATGATAGAGGCTTATCATATTCTCAGAGAATTTCCTGATAAATTTAAGACAACTTTATGTTTTAAACAGTTAATATCGGAGTCACAATTAAGGAAATATTTAAATGTGGAAACTCCTGGTAAACAAATAAGTTTGGAGCTAGTTTACATTTTTCTCCAAATTCATAATAGTTTTACAGTGTCTCTCCAGAGACATCATTTTCTCACGGGTAAATAATACTTTCCTTTAATTAATCTCCTGTTTTTTTTTGTGGCTTTTCTGACTTATGGAATTCTACTGTGAAAAACCAGAAATCACCTATGTTAGTCTTACCGCTTTTACGCCATTAGAATGTTCTTTCCTGAAAACATGCTTCTTAGGAGTTAACCATTTGGCTTTAACTATGGTCTCCAAATCTGAAACAAATTGAAAAGAAATTTAAGTTGATGGAGGAAAAAAAATAGCAAAGGGCACACATGAGTAAAGGCAGATTCTGAGGGATAAGGTTTTTGAGGTTTGCAATGAAAGGGATATGAGTATGCAAACCGTAGGTATTAAAAAAGGATTCTAGGAAGGATTAAGACAGATCAGAGATTTACCAAAGAAGGAATTATCAGGAATGCAAAGTAGGAAAGAATTGGACAAAGAGCTCATGTGAGCTTAAATTTTTATTTTTTTTTTTAAAGATTTTATTTATTTATTTATTTTCCCCCCAAAGCCCCAGTAGAAAGTTGTATGTCATAGCTGCACATCCTTCTAGTTGCTGTATGTGGGACGCGGCCTCAGCATGGCCGGACAAGCAGTGCGTCGGTGCGCGCCCGGGATCCGAACCCGGACCGCCAGTAGCGGAGTGTGTGCACTTAACTGCTAAGCCATGGGGCCGGCCCCGTGAGCTTAAATTTAAAAAGGAAAAGAAACGTGTCTTTTTTTTCTCTCTCTGAGTCCAAAGTAAAGAATGAGCTGTTCAAGAGAAAGTTAAAAAGGAAAGTAACAAGTTCCACGAGGAAGCTCATACCAAATGTTCTTGGCGTTTTCTGTCAGAAAAAAGGTCATTTTACAAAGTTCCCTCATTGACATATCCTTATGTAATACTCCCATGCCCTGAATCACTGGCCAGAGCTCTTCCCCACAAGGACCCCTATCTACCTGGTGCTCACCTGGGCAGGTGCCTGGGAGAATTCCTCTCTCCTTTGTCATCACTTTGTCTTCTTGGTCCAACTGGGAAATGAGCCTGGGTTTATCAACATGATACCCTATTCACGGAAAAAAGACATATGTCGTGAGGGACCGTGAAGATGACAAGCAACTCAATGAAACCAAAGACAGCAATTCTGAAGATGGGCGAGTGTGACTTTTGGAGCAGTGGAACAATTACACCAAGTTCTAATGAATATAGTAACTCAAAAAACAAAAATACAAGCATCCTCACTCAATATCCAGGTGACAGGGCATAAATAGTGCCAAAGTTCATGCCCAAGTTTAAATATAGACTTCAGAAGCTCTAAAGCTTTCAACCATGGAGAATATACAGGGACAGATATTCAGTTCATAGAGAAGGCATCAGACAGAATGCTCAATGAGGGAGGGAACCATGTCTGTCTCATTCACCACTGTATTCCTAAACCCAGCACAGACCAGGAACATAGAAGTGCTTAAGAAAGACTTGTGAGAAGTGATGACAGTAAAAATCATGGAATATTTAACTCCAAAAGTCCATCCCCTTAAAAAAACTACGAATAAACTGGCAAAAACTATCAGAATCAACTTTATCCGAATGCTGGAAACTTATCAAAAGTTACAGCAACCAGGAAAATACTTAATTGGGAAAAAGCCAGCTGACATTTTAACTGAGCCTTGCCTCATCCTCAATCCACTTTGGACATGACCTTGAAGACAACATCCCACATTCCTAGTATGAAAGGGAGCAGGATGGACCTTATTCTCAAAGAACTGTGGTTGCTTGTCTTGGCCTTTCTGAAGGTTTGGCTCAAAGGGCTTGTCTTTACCTAATCTCAAACTCTCCATGGTCTGAGCTGGCTACCCAGTGGCCATGTGCTGAACACATTTAAAGGAAAATATATTAGCCATCACCAGCCTATGGAAGCAAAAAAAGAAGAAGAAAATCAAAGGCTAACCAAAACGCTTGGGTGGAAAAGTGTGGAATGAGATGTTTGGGGGAATTTTTGAAAAGCTCCCTCATATTCCTTTGAATCTAGAAAGCCATGTGCACACCCAGGGTCGGCCATATGCTCAGAAAAGACCTGAGAAGGGACTAAGCCCTCAGCTTTGGCTGACCTTCAGGCTCTGCACAAGCAGGAAGTGAAGGTTAGGCAGAGATGTAAACTTCCTAGCTGATTCTGAAGGCATGCCCCTTTATACACACAGAGCCCAACTGCAGAGACTAGGAGTTTTTTATTTTTTGTTCCAGGCATGCAAGGAAATCTCTGAAAAAGCACTAGCTAACCATTAAGCTAACATAACAGAGTCTTCAGTGACCACACACGACAAACACAAATATTACAAAATTAGTTCAGAATATCACCAAACATACATACCATATCAACAACAAGGAACAACAACAAACCCCAGAGATGGGGAAAAATCTGATTCCAGAATTGCCATATTGTATTATTCCAAATGTCCACTTTTCAACAGAAAAATTAGGAGGCAGGCAAAAATACAAATGCATTGCCCATTATAGGGAAAAAAAAAAATTAGAAACAGTCCCTGAGGAAGCCTAAACATTGGACTTACTAGACAAAGAATTTAAATCAACTATTTTAAAACTGCTCAAAGACCTAAAGGAAACCATAAAGAAGGAACTAAAGGAAATCATAAGAACCAATTCTGATCAAATAGAAAACATGTTACAGAGATAGAAATTATAAAAAGAGACTACATGAGCTTTGGAGTTGAAAAGTACAGTAACTTAAATGAAAAATCCAGAAGAGCAGTTCATCATCAGATTTGAGCAGACAGAAGAAAGAATCAAGGACCATGAAGATAGGACGATTTATATTACCTAGCCTGAAAAATAGAAAAAAAAAAGAACTAAAAAAATATGCGCAGAGCCTAAAAGACCCATGGGATACCATCCAACATACCAACATACACATTATGGGATCTCCTTAGGTAGAGAAGAGAATGAGGCAGAAAGAATATCTGAAGAAATAATGGCTAAAAACTTCCTAAAATCTGATGAAAGATACAAATGTACACAACCAAGAAGCTTAACAAACCCCAAATAGGTTAAAGTGAAAGAGAGAGAGATCACTAGGTCATCTACCCTACAAGAAATGCTGATGGGAGATGCCCAGGCTGAAATGAAAAGGACAATGGATATTCCTCAAACCTGCACAAAGAAATAAAGAATAGTGATACAGGAAAATACATAGGTGAATATAAACATCTATAACAATCAGTTATTTATTTTTGGCTTGTAACTCCTGTATTTTTTATATATGATTTAAAAGATAAATGCCTAAACCAATAATTATAAATCTATGTTAATGGGCACATAATGTATAAAGATGTAATTTGTGACAAAGCAATACAAAGCAGGGGGGGTGCACCTATATAGGAGCAAAATTTTTGTATAATATTGAAACAAAGTTGATATTAAATCAAAATAGGTTGGTACAAATTAAAACGTTAATTGTAATCCCCAGGATAACTACTAAAAAAAAATTACTAAAAAACAAAAAGAAATGAGAAGTGAATCAAAATAGTCCACTAGAAAATATCTAATACAAAAGTCAATAATAATGGAGGAACTAATGAACAAAATTGATATAAGACATGTAAAAAACAAAAAATGGCACGAGTATGTCTTTCTTTATCAGAAATTACCTTACATGCAAATGGATGAATCTGTCCAATTAAATGGCAGATTTTGGCAGAATGGATTAAAAAATAATCTAATTATATACTATCTGTAAGAGACTCACTTTACACTTAAAGATGCTAATAGATTGAACGTCAACAGATGGAAAAAGATATTCCATGAGAATAGCAGCCAAAAGATAGTCAGTCTAGCTATACTCATTTCAGGCAAAAAAGACTTTAAGACAAAAATTGTTACAAGACACAAAGAAAGATATTTAATAAAAAAAATCAATTCATCAAGAAGATATAACAATTATAGATATATATGTACCTAACAACACAGCTCTAAAATATATAAATTCAAAACTGACAGAATCGCAGGGAGAAATAGAGAGTTTTACCATAACAGCTGCAAACTTCAACATCCTACTTTCAATAATGGGTAGAACAACTAGTCTGAAAATCAACAAGGAAACAAAGGACTTAAACAATCCTAAAAACTAACTAGACCTAACAGACATATAAAATATTCCACCAACAACAGAATACACATTCATCTCAAGCGCACATGGAACATGCTCCAGAATATACCATTTGCGAGGCCACAAAACAAATCAGAACAAATTGAAAAACAATGAAATCATACAAAGTATCTTCTCTGATCACAACAGAATCAAATTAACAATGAGTAACAGAAAGATATGTATTGGAAAACTTAATATTGTTAAGGTGACAATACTAACCAAAGCCATCCACAGATTCAATACAATCACTATCAAAATTCCAACAGCTATTTTTGCAGAAATGGACAAGTTGACCCTAAAATTCATACGGAATTGCAAGGGATCCTGAATAGAAAAAATAGTCTCGAAAAAGAATAACAAAATAGGACTCACACTTACTAATATCAAAAGTTACTATAAAGCCACGGTAATGAAGACAGTGGGTGCTGGCACATGGATAGGCAAACAGATCAATGGAACAGAACTGGGTGTACATAAACTCACACATCTACGGTCAAATAATTTTCAACAAGGGTGTCAAAACGATTCAATGCAGAAAGAACAGTCTCTTCTACAAAGGTGCTGGGACACAAGGATATAAACATGCCAAAGACTGATGTTGATACTTTCTCTAAACCATATAAAAAATTAACTCAAAATGGATCCAAGACCTAACTGAAGAGCTAAAACTAGGAAATTCTTAGAAGAAAACAGAGGGGTAAATCTTCATGACCTTGGATTTGGCAATAGTTTCTTAGGTATAACACCAAACGCACAAGCAAAAAAAGGCAAATAGATAAATTATAACTTTTTTTATATCAAAGGACACTATCAGAAAAATGAAAAGACATCATAGAACGGGAGAAATTATTTGCAAATCATATTTTGGATAAGGGTCTAATATTCATAATATATAATGAACTTTTTCAATCCAAGAACAAAAAGATAAACCACTGAATAAAAACATGGGCAAAGGACTTGAACAGACATTTCTCCAAAGAAGATATACAAATAGCCAACAAATACATGAAGAGATGCTCAACGTAATTAGTCACGAGGGAAATGTAAATCAAAACAACGAGATATCACTTCATATCCATGAGGAGGGCTACAATCAAAAATCAAAACGTTGGGCTGGCCTGGTGGCACAGCCGTTAAGTGCGCGCGCTCCGCTGCGGTGGCCCCAGGGTTCACAGGTTCGGATCTCGGGCGCGCACTGACGCACCGCTTGTTAAGCCATGCTGTGGCGGTGTCCCATATAAAGCAGAGGAAGGTGGGCACAGATGTTAGCCCAGGGCCAATCTTCCTCAAGAAAGAAAAAAAAGGGGGGGGGATTGGCATCAGATGTTAGTTCAGGGTTAGTCCTCCTCACAAAAAAAAAAAAAAAAAAAATCGAAATGTTGGGGAAGATGTGGAGAAATTGGAACCCTCATGCATTGGTGCAGCTGCTGTGGACAACACTTTGGCAGTTCCTCAAAAAGCTAAACATGGTAATATGCCCCGGCATTTCACTCCTAGATATATACCCAAGAGAACTGCAGACAGGTTTAAACAAAAACTTGTAAACAAATATTCACAGAGGCATTATTTATAATAGCCAGTAACTGGAAACCACCCAAATGTTAATCAACCAGTGAATGGATAAACAAAATGTGGAATGTGCATATAATGGAATACTACTCAGTCCTAAAAAGGAATAAAGAACTGAAACATACTACAACATAGCTAAACCTTTAAAACATTATGTTGCTGGAAAGAAGCCGGACACAAAGAATCACATATATTATGATTCTAATGATATAAAATGTTCTGCACAGGCAAATCCACAGAGACAGAAAGCACATTAGTGGTCGCCAGCAGTGAATGGGGAAGGTAATGGGTATTGGTCACTTAATGGGTATGGGTTTCTTTTAGGGGTGATGACAATGTTCTGAAATTAGATAGTGTTGATCGTTGCACAACACTGTGAATCTATCAAAAGCCACTGAATTGTATACTCTAAAATGGTTAAAATGGTGGATTTTCTGTTCCGTGAATGTTACATGAACTAAAAAAAGCCTTGTTACCTGAGTCAATAAATAAATGCAGGAATGATGTCAGGCTTACCAAGAGATGCGAGGTTCCTGCAGTTTTCCAGCATCACATCCCTGTACAGTGTTCTCTGAGAAGCGTCCAGCAATGCCCACTCTTCTGGGGTGAACTCCACGGCCACATCCTCGAAGGTCACCAAGTCCTAAACCACCACAAACATCATGCCTTAGGGAAGGACCATCCTCACCAATGCTGACAGGAAAAGGGCCGAGGATGACAGAACTAGGGAGAAGAGACCCAAAGCACAGGGTGTCCAGACAGATGCTGAGCTCTGCTCTCCTTTGCTTCCAGGCTCAGCCCTCAATGCTCATCTCCTGTCTACTTACTTCCACCCACTCCCAAGGTTAAATGCACCTCCAACACATAGGTGATACTTTTCCCATGAGACTGTGAAATCCTGCAATCTAACATCCCTCAATCTCCAAGGTTGAGCACAGGCCTGGCACACTGCAGAAATCAGACAAATATGGTAAATGTATGAATGATTCTCAATGGCCATCATCAATTGCTTGAATTTAGGACACAGTCATGTCTTCCCTTTGCTTCCCCTTAAAACTCTCAGCAGAACATGATGTAGACAGTGACCCTGGAGGAAGATCTGCAATGTAGTAAATGAAGACATCTAGTGACATTGTTGGGGTAGCCCCACACCCTCCATCAGATGCCCGGAGATACTGGGATGCCTGAGGACCTGGTTTGGCTGTGAGGCTCCAGGTCATTGAAAGAAAACAAAATCAACGTTTGGTCAAAGGAACACTGATTTGGAGAAAGGAATATCTGACTCACCGGTAACCAGCTTGTCAGGAAGCCCTGAATGAACCCTTCCTCCTTTGTGCATCCTCTTTGAGGAGAGGCTGGGTACACGGGAGACTGAGCTGGAGAAGAAGGAAGGAGTCACAAGAATCCAGGATTGCTCTATGTTCTAGCACTCACAAATCTGGAGGCTTCCCCATCTACCTGTGGTTGAACATCCCCTAACACACACACAGCACAAATCTGGAGGCTTCTCCATCTACCTGTGTTTGAACACCCCCCAACAGACACACACACACACACACACAGCTTTCACCATAGCCCTGTCTCACTCAGGCCAGAAAATAGGAACAACGGTCTTACTGCACTTGAGGAACAGATTATTTCCATTTCACAGACGAGGAAATTAAAATTCTGAGGGACAGCACTGTTATTTCATCAAGTTTATGAAGGAATTAGAGGTAAAATCCAAAACTCCAGCACACTCACCACACAGGTGACATCTCCACAGACACTCAAACCACCAAAGTTCCAAATCCCCAAAACTGCCCAATCAGATACCTGTGACCTCCATGTCTCACTCCCACCTCCCCTGCTCGGCCCCCTCCCCTGTGGTGCAGGGGCCTTTAGCACCTGGACTCTGAGGGCTGTAAGGACCCAAGAACTTACCACAAGTGGGGGACAGAACCATGGCCGCCATCCTGTAATTCAGTAAATCTTCCTGAACAACAGGACAGTGGAGAACCAGGATGCTCCTCCTAACCCCACAGAGCACTCAGGACAGGGCTCTGGAATAAACAGGAAAATACAAAGTATTCACAGCCTCTCTCCCTCTCTAGGTTACTGAGGACGAATCTGTCTTAGCCCGTCCATCATGTCCTCCTTCAAACATAATATATTTGATACTGGGCCTCTATTTTGCTTAGCAGGTGATGAACTCAGGGCTAGTTGATGGCAAAACTTGTCTTCTTCTGCACCCAATGGTATGACCAATACATTACTGCTCCCCCCATTTTAAGTCCTTAGCTTCGCTGACTCTCAGGGCACATCCTTCCCATCCGCGTGGTTGTCACAATCCCAGTCCCAGCTACAACCCCTGTTCACGGAGACTTTGGCACCTGACTCCCATTATTCTTTCAACCTCCAGTCCCATCTCACTTGGATGATGTCAGAATCCATGAAGATGACTCTCACAGTATTAGGATTTGTCTCCACTCCACCTTGGGCACACATTTCCATGGGCACCACCCTAGGCTTTGTCATCACCTAACACTGCTCCACCATCTAGAACAATAGTTCAGAAATTTCTCTCTCTGAATACAACTTGCTAACCTTCTACCTTGTTCACTCATCTTTTTTCTCTTACTACATGTCTTCTTCTGCCACACAAAGGCTTCAGTCCACCTTCTCTCTCTTCTCGTTTCATACTTACTCAGTTCTGAATGCAATATCCTTCCTTTCAACAAATTTCCTTATCCCTACCCCCTATCTTCACTCTGGCACAGCAGAACTCCAACCAAGCATGATTCCAATAATCTGCCTGCTCCATGGCAACATCTGGGCAGATCAGCCCGCACAAGAGCTGTCATGTTGCCACCTCTAAAAAACCATGGTCTCCAACAGGCAAAGAGCTCTCAACCCTGCAGGACAATCCTACAAGTCCATGGAGCTCCCTACTCATCAAACATTCTCTGATGTCTCTAAATCTCACATCCTCACCTTTTCCCCTATGGTAACCAGCTTCCTAAATAGCCCTCAATGATCCGAGCCTCCCGGTGTCCACACCTTTGTGAGTCCCCCACCCCCCCGCCAAATTAGGGCTGGTTTGTGTGATCAACAAACTACAGCAGAGGTGACAGTGAGTGACTTCCAGGCTAGGTCCTAGAAGGCACTGTAGCTTCTGCTGGTTCTGCTGGACTGCTTGCTCTAGGGACCGCCAGTGGCCATGTTTCGAGGACACTCAAGCAGCCCTGTGGAGAGATCTACATGGAAGGGAACTGAGGCCTCCCTCCAACAGCCAGCACCAACTTGACAGCAAGCAAGTGAACCACCTTAGAGGTGAGTCCTTCAGCACCACTCAAGCCTTCAGATGATGTAGTCCCAGCTCATATCCTCCTGCAACCCCATCAAAGTCCTGAGCCAGAACCTTCCAGCTAAGCTGCTCCTGAATTCCAGAACCACAAAAATTGTGAGATGACACATGGTTATTGTTGTTTTAAGTCACTAAGGTTTGGGATAACTTGTTATGCAGCAATAGATAATGAATACACCCTTACTTTCAGCAGATGGTCCTGCATCCTACTTCTCAAAGCAATCATCCTGAGAAGGAATCCACCTTCCTGAAAAGTCTTGTCACCAAAACGACAACCTGCACCATGGTTTCCTCCCTCTCCTGTTACAAACCGGGAGCTGTCTCCCCTTCTCTGTAAGACAACACTCTGTAGCTCTGTTCTGTGCTCCATCCCACGTGCTTTTTTAGGAGCTCTATACTATCGATGATCTCTTATCTACCCTTCCCCTTCTGGCTCTCCCACTCTACTGGACTCTTCAACCCACCACTTCAACCCGATGTAGTATTTGTAGCAGTGAAATAAATCTATCCTAAGAGCACAGCTTTCTTTCCAGTTACTGCCCAGTTTCTCTGCCTCATCACGGCCTAAGTGTTTTTGGTTTCCACCACTGCCATTTCAAGGACAATACTCTTGGTAGAATCACCAATGATCTTATACATAGAACAGAGATGTAGAATGCAACTACACTGACACCATTTCTTATCTATCAGATCAACAGAGACATGGTGGGCCGCATCTTTTATTAGCCAGGCTGTACGGAAAGGCATTCTCATACACTGCTGGGGTACAACTCCTATGGAAGGAAATATGTCAATGTTAAGAGAAATGGAAAAACATTTACCCTGTCCCTGTCAACTGCACTACCAGGAATCTATCTGAGAGACACACAAATACTAAAGAACATGAGTGAGATTACTCCCTGTAGCCTTATTTATAGCATTGAAGGATTGGAAACAACACAAATGACCATCAACAGGGAACTGGAATCAATAAACATCAACAGGAATCAATAAACTATGGGATATCCACATAATGAAGAAACATGCAGCTAAAAAAGGAAAGAGAAGATCTGTAGGTATTGACAGAGATTCTTATCTCCAATAAATTTAAGTGAAAAGAAATCAAGGTACAAAGCTGTCTATGGACTGATTCCTTCTTATAAGGAGAGGCCTCCTTTCCCTGGAGTCACAGATTAAAATGTCACTCTGTAAAGGGCCAGCCTCGTGGTGTAGTGGTTAAGCTCATGCACTCTGCTTTGGGGGCCCGGGGTTTGCAGGTTCAGATCGCAGGCGTGGACGTACACACTGCTCATCAAGCCATGCTGTGTCAACATCCACGTACTAAATAGAGGAAGATTGGCAACAGATGTTAGCTCAGGGCCAACCTTCCTTACACACACACAACAAATGTAACTACACAAAACTGGCTTCTTGAAGTCTCTCTGCATGTCCTCCCTGCAACCCAAAGATAAAGGCAATAAAAGGTGTGAGTGGGGCCAGGAAGGGAACATTGGACACTAAGAGTGAGTTGGGCCAGGTGGAAACAAAGAGCTGCAGGGAGTCTTTGACTCCTGGGCCTGTGAGGTAGACACATTAATGCCCCCGCCCCAAAGATGGCCATGTTCCATTCCCAGAACCTGTGAATATGTGACCTTACAAGGCAAAAGGGATTTTGCAGATGTGATTAAGGTAAGGATCTTGAGATGGGAGATGATCCTGGATTATCCAGGTGGCCCAATGTCATCACAAAGGTCCTTATAAGAGGAAGGCAGGAGGGCCAGAGTCAGAGAAGGAGATGTGCTGAGGGAAGCAGAGGTCAGAGAGAAAGAGACAGAAATCTGAAGATGCCACACTGCTGGCTTTGGAGATGGAAGAAGGAGCCACAAACCAAGGAATGCAGGTGGCCTCTACAAAATGGAAAAGGAGAGGAAACACATTCTCCCCGAGACCCTCCAGAAGGAATGCAGCCCTGCGGACCTATTTAGGATTTCTGACCTTCAGAACTGCAGAATAAATTTGCGTTGCTCTAAGCCACTAAGTTTGTGGTAATTTGCGCGAGCAGCCACAGGAAACTAACACTCTCTCTCACATCAAACCCTCCCTTTGCCATGGTGGGAGTCCAGTGGACCCAGACACCTGCTGTAGAACTGCCCTCCCCTCTGCAGGGGGAGGAGGTCTCCTTCCTCCCACCAGGGACCCAATCTGCAGTTAAGAACACTTATAGTCACTGAGTCAAGAGAGAGGAGGGCTGGGATCCAGCCAGCTCACTGCGCCCCCAGGAAGAGAGCAGGCGGAGAAGGTGCCTGGGACACTTTCAGGCCCCGAGCGCCCATTCAAGGGCTGTTGGAAGCTGAACTCTCATAGAAGGGCAGGAGGGATCTCTGTTCAGTTTAGAGAGTAGTGACTCCTGCCCCCCAGGATATGTCAGAGTCGGAAGAGGGTCACAGAGGATGCGCCACTCTAAACCAGCATTGCCCAATAGAAGTTACAGTGATGACAGAAATGTTGTGTACTTGTGTTCTGTCTAATACGATACTCACTAGTCACATGAGGCTACTGAGCACTTGAAATGTGGCTAATGTGACTGAGGAAACAAATTTCTAATTATATTTTTCATTGGTTCAACTGAAATAGCTACAAGTGGCTACCGGCTACCATAGTAGACAGGGCAGCCCTAGACATACTCAGGCCTGACCTTCTAGGATGTGGAGGAGGGGCCTGTGAGTGGCAAAGAGGGGTGAACACACAGACCTGGGTGAGGGGGCACCTGCAGGTCTGCACGGACACTTGACACTTATAGTCACTGAGTCAAGAGAGAGGAGGGCTGGGATCTCCCTGCCCTGCCCTAAGTACTGTTACATTCTCTCAGCTCTAAACTCCAAGTCTTTTCTGTCTATTTCTTTCCTACTCCACAGCCATCATCCAGGCCTAGGGAACAATCATCTTATTCCTAACCTTCTTCCCAACACCTCCTATCTGCCTCTTAAGTCTTTATTCTTAACCCTCAAGTCCATTTTAACCCACGTGCTTTGACTAAATGGCAATCACATCACCCATCTGCTCACATCTCTCCAGTGTCGTTCCACTGATCTTAGAACAGAGTCCAAAGTCACACCTAATCTGGTCCAGCCTGTCCCCCTCGCCGGTGTGGCTCATACCTCGCCCCACTGTGTTGACTCGGCTTAGCCATCCCTCTTCTCAGTTCATGGACACACCAGGCTCTCTGCTTCAGGGGCGTCCTCATGCGGGTCCCTCTGCCTGAAATGCTCTCTTGAACACACTCCCACACCCTCACTCCAGTCTAACCCTCCAACTAGCTAAATCCAGTCCCAACTCTAGCTCTCAAGCTAAATATCAGTCCGTCTCAAGAGGGCTTCCCTCCCCCCTCAGGTTGAGTCCCCTTGTGCCAAACTCCCACATCACTCTCATCATTAACTTTTCAAAATCCAAATTCCCGAATACAATATAAACTCCATGGAGGCACAACAATGATTCTCCAGGTCCCCATGCATCTCGCCCAGGGCCTGGCTCATGAGATGAGGAACCATCCTGGTTTGTCTAGGACTGTCCTGGTTTGAACACTAAATGTCCTGTGTCCTGGAAAACTCCTCCATCCTGAATAAACGAGGATGGTGGGTCACCATAAATTCTGCAATCAAAGAATATCTATTGCACAACAAGCACACATTCCCCTCAAGAACGTCCCAGGAAAGCTAGAATGAAAAAGGCACACACACATACACACACAATTAGTAGAGGCCAACAACTAAATACAAAATTACTTAACAAGATTCTTTGCAACGTGAATCATCAGACTGTTATTTCAGAAAAGATTCAAGAAACAAAGTTAATTCCCTTTAGAAGGCAAGGTGGAGAGGACAGTCTTTTGGAGACTAGTGTCCTGCCCTTCTATCTACAAGGTGTTGCTTAATATTCCTCCAATGATTTGAAATCTCATAAAGAAAAAAAAAAATGCTCAAAATACATCTGGCTACTGGCCAGTTCAAATGCAAATTTCTGTTACTAATATAAACAAGTTCAGATCATCTTTTTCCCCGGGTGCCCCCATATTTTGAATCTTTGTGGAGAATTTATACGGCTTTAGAGCATGGGCCTGAGGAATGTTCCTGAGTAATTCTGCTAATATTTGATGGGATGTCTTGTAATACTACATATACAGGCAAAACATTTATATATTTACATTATATATAAAAGCCTGACATATCGAGTATTATGAAATGCAAGTAAATCTATATTTCTCTACTGTTACACATATTCGCAGTTATTTACATATGTTTGTTTAACATATTATTTGCACATAATTGTATTCACTGAGTTATTTACAAACGCAGAACCACACATACCTTACTCTCTTTCCCTTGAATTTAAAGATTTTATTTATTTTATTTTTCCCCCCAAAGCCCCAGTGGATAGTTGTGTGTCGTAGCTGCACATCCTTCTAGCTGCTGCATGTGGGACTCAGCCCCAGGATGAACGGAGAAGTGGTGCCTCGATGCGCACCCGGGATCCGAACCCGGGCCACCAGCATCGCAGTGTGCGCACTCAACCAGCAAGCCACAGGGCCGGCCCGCTTTCCCTTGAATTTAATCCATTGAACATCAATAATTTTTCCCAAGATACCCTCACTCTCAGTGACTCCTTGTGGTGACAACCTGAGCCCAGGAAAGCCCACCAGCAGGTCTTCTGCACAGTGGAGGCTGCTGGAACCTGTTGGTACCAGGTCCACACGGTACTCACCTGGTCACACAGAAATCCACGGATCAGCGAGGACAGGTGGACCCTGAGCCTGGTTTCACCTCAAACTTGAGCTCCATGGATGCTTCTCTTGGCTGAGAGGGGGGAAAAAAGCACAAAGATTGCTTTTGAGTCCTTTTATAGGGAGTAATACAGCAGATGGATGGAAAGGCCTCCCCATTCACTTTTCTGTTTTGTATTTACTTATTTAACTGTAACTGTTGGCTGTGACTGGATTTTCCCGATTCCTATCCAGCCACCTGCTCCCCAAGATGGGAGAAGCACGGATAGAGACTTTTTGGTGACTCCGGACCCTTTAAACAAGCTTGTCATTTAGGGACCCTGTAAGTGACTCGCTGACTTGTAAACAATTCCCACAATTCATTCAGGGCTCGGGAGATCTTCAGGCTCTGGAACAGGTGTCCCAACCTCGGCACCACTGACATTTGGGGCCGGATGATTCTCTGACGGGCCGTCCTGGGCCCTGGAGGACGCTGAGCAGCATCCCTGCCTCCCCCCCTAGATGCGAGGAGCGCCCCCATTAGTAACAACCCAAACACCGCCTCCAGACGCGGATAAGCGCCCTGGGGACAAAATCACACGGAGGACGGTGACGGGGACTCTGAGGAGGGGCCGGCGGCGCCCGGAGCCGGGCGGAACAGCAGCCTCGGGCGCCCTGAGCGAACAGCCCGGGGGAAACGGGGCTCCGGGGGGACGGAGGGACGCCGGGCCGTGACGGGGCTGCCCGCGGCCGAGGCCCCTCCCTGGACCGCGACCGGAGCCGGGACCGCCCGCCGCTCACCGAGCCCCGCCCCTGAGGCCGAACGGCGACGGAAATCCCGTCCGCGCCGAGAAGACAGGACTCACCACGCAGACCCACCCGGCTCTTTCACGGCGCCGCCCGCGCTTCCGCTTCCGGTCTCGGGCGGGACGCTCTGCATTTGTTTCCGGTCTTGGGCGGGCCTTCCCCGGAGAGCGGGACGTTTGGGGGCTCCGGGCTGAGGCGGCGGGCAGGGTGGGGCCGCGCACCCCAGCCTCAAGGGAGGTGTCTAGTTTATAGAGTGAGTACGAGGCTGGGCTGCGGGCTGGGTCAGCACTAGGGACGGGACTCGTTCTAGGGGCGGGGCTGTGGGCGGGGACAAGGGTGTGAGTGACACCAGGCCTGGAGGGCGGGGCGGTGGCCAGAGATCAGTTCTGGGGGCAGGGCTGTGGGCGGGGATCAGGTGTGGCCGGGGATCAGGTCTGGCCGTGAGGCAGTGGTTGTTACCAGGCCTCGGGGCGGGGCTAGAGTCGGAGGGCGAGACGGTGGGCGGAGACCAATTCTAGTGGCGGGAGAAGGCGGGAGCGGTGCTGCAATAGGTTACGCAGGCTTTACAGTGGGAGGCAATCAGCTCCAGCCCCTGGCCTGGAGTCGGGGGCTTTCTGTGGATCCCTAGACTGTACCGGGTAGCAGGATACTTAACAACTTTTATTCAGTCCGTTCTCCAATCACACCGTCTCACACAGCCCAATAGAACTACATGCCCATATTTAGCATTTTCAATATTTGGTGCGTGTGTACTATTATTAATTTTTTTGAAAATTGGATCATATATTCACATTTCTCTACAACTTGGTGCCCCAAGCCAGTAGATAAGGATCTAACGCTATTTTAATTAAGTAATTTTGGGGGTGAAGTGACTACATCATAGACGCACATATAGGAAAACTTCAAGGGGTAAAACAAAGTCAGTAAAATGTTCTCAGTCCCACTACTGTCTCCCTGTCCTTTTGTCCAGAGATAAACATCCTTTTCTCCTCTATCCTTCCAGATGGGGTGTGTATGTGTATGCGTGTGTATATGTTCAAGCCCTAGAGGGGTGTCCCCAAGCAAAACCTGCAGCTGATAAATTGTCTCATGTGTCTGAAGTTACTGAAAACTGATTTAAATTTCTGGTGGAGATGGGTGAACCAGTGATGATTTGATAGGAAGAAAACAAAGAAACAACGGATTTTACCACTTAAAAGGTCAAAAGAAAAAGTGAGAAAGAAAATGTATTCATAGTATCCTATGTGGCCATCTCTGATTAGATTCATATGTCATAAAATGGTAAACATTTATGTAATAAAACAATAGACATTGAATTTTGATTTATCCTAATTCATTAAATAATTATATTGGGTGAGGGGGATTATGTTTTAATGTATGTAAGAGAACTTCATGCTAATTTTTTCAGAAAAGAAGATTAGAAAAAGTCAAAAGCTGCATAAGGAGCTAACATAGAAACAGATAATTTCAAACAGAAAAATAAAGAAGTTGTTTCTGAAAATCAGAGTAAAGAGTGAAGAAGGCAACTTTTCATCATAACGCTAAAAGTATTATTTGAGATATGTATTTATAGACACACACACACACTCAGAGGCCTGAATTTCTATTCCAAAGGGACATCAAACTACAAAAAATTGATAAAAGTGATTCACTTTGCAACAGTAGAATGTATTTTGAAAACTGCAGAGTTCAAGCATAAAAAAATCTGTAATCATCCTGGTGGAAAAATCAATGGGGCATCGCTTTCCAAACGATATGATGATGAGCATTTTACATACATTACTCTTGAGTATTTTCACAGCAACCCATAAGGAAGATGCTATTATCTCCATTTTACAGATGAGGAAATTGGTGACAGCATGTTGCTAAAATTTTCAAATTTCACAGAAGTTCTCAATAGATATTGTTTTGTTTTAAAATTATTTATTGAATTTTATTTTCATTAATATATGTGCCATTCTCATAAATAAGCAAAGAGTATATAAGAACAATTTAATAAAATTAGTGTTTTCTTTTGATTTGGTTAAATATATCAAGCACTTTAATATTTTTCTGCCCTCTGCCTCACATCAAGGAAGATACTTCCTATCCTAAAGTTTTACTAGAAAACTCTACTAAATATTCAAGGATCCGAGAATTCTGTGTCTGGCCCGGTGGTGTAGTGGTTAAGTTCGCATGCTCCGCTTTGGCCGCCCAGGATTTGTGGGTTCCTCTGCCAGGTGCAAACCTACACACCATTCATCAAGACATGCTATAGTGGCGTCCCACATACAAAGTGGACAAAGATTGGCACAGATGTTAGCTCAGTGACAATCTTCCTTGGGCAAAAAGAGGAAGACTGGCAACAGATGTTAGCTCAGGGGCAACCTTCCTCACCAAAAAAAAAAAAAAATGAGGGAACCCTCATATTATGCACGCCTCCTGAAAACACACAGAAAGCCATTATAACAAAACATTTAAGGCAAAATTCTTAAATTTTTAATGTACTGATATCAATACAACACATAGGCAAGGTTCATCTGTAGAGTGACAAATACTTAAACTTTAGACATTTAGAAAGTTAATTTATCACATTAACTAATATACATGAGAAGAATTATTTTCAGTCTCACTAAGTGCCAGGAAAACATTGGAGAAAATGCATTGCAGCATTATTCACAATAGCCAAGAGGTGGAAATGCCCTAAATGTGCATTGATGAAGGGGTAAAGAAAATGGGGTATATCCATACAATGGAATATTATTCAGCCTTAAAAAGGAAGGAAATCCTGTCATATGTTACAACACATATGAACATTGAAGGCATTATGCTAAGTGAAGTAAGCCAGACATAAAAGGACAAATATTGCATGATTCCACTGATAGGAGGTATCTAAAGTAGCTAGTCTCATAGAAGCAAAGTAGAATAGTGGTTGTCAAGGGCTGAGGGTAGGAGGAGGTGGGGAGTTGTTTGGTGTGTGTAGAGATTCAATCGTGGAGGATGGAGGGCCTGAGGATCTGTTGCAGAACACTGCACATGTGGTTGACAATATTGTAATGTACACTTGAAAATTGTTGGCAGGGTGAATTTTATGTTGTGTGGTTTTTTGCCACAATAAAAAAAATTTGAGAAAATGTAATACTTGTTTGTAATATATAACTCACAGAATGAAAAGACCTCCCCTAATTTGGAAAACACTAAAAGAGCATTAAGCCCTGTATCAGTTTACCAGGGCTTTCATAACAAAGTACCACAGACTGGGTGGCTTAAACCACAGAAATTTTTTTTCTCACAGTTCTAGAGACTAGACATCTGAGATCAAAGTGTTGGCAGCGTTGGTTCCTTTTGAGAGTTAGGACGGAAGGATCTTGGCAAGGTTGGTTCCTTTTGAGAGTCAGGAAGGAAGGGTCTGTTCCAAGCCTCTCTTTCTGGCTTGTAAGTGGCCATGTTCTCCCTGTGTTGTCACATTGTCTTCCCTCTGTCCATGTCTGTGTCCAATTTTCCTCTTCTTAGAAGGACAGCAGTCATATTGGATTAGGGCTTGCCCTAATGACCCCAATTTAACTTAATTACCTCTATAAAGAACTTGTCTTCAAATGCAGTCATGTTCTAAGGTACTGAGGGTTAGGATTTCGACATTGAGCTTTTTGAGGGGGGCACATCTCAGTCTGTAACAATCATAAATGATTAAGGATTGGAACAACTCCCAAATTATATATATATAACAAGACAAGAATATCTGAGCATCGTTAATATTCCTAATGACAAGATCATCTGCCTAGGAAATCTGAGAGGCTCTACTCACAATTCCATTTCTGCTCAGTAAGCTTATTATGGTGACTGTATAAAAGATCCATATGTAAGAAGCTTTTTATACCTGAGGATAATACATGTGCAAATATAACAGAAAAAAAGAATGCTTCATTAGGTCAATAAACATGTAAAACATGAAGCAACAGCTTTACAAGAAATGTTCAAATCATCACGGAAAAAACAGAATAAGAAAACATAATAGATAAAAGAGGTCCTTTATTAGGTTAACAAAATATGAAAAATATGAAGCAAAACAATTAATAAGAAACGTCCAAATCATAGAGAAAAAATTATAATGTGGCTCTTGGTTCTGGACAAGATCGTATAGACTCACTTTTTCCTGTTTCTCCCTACTAAATACAATTAAAAACCTTGGAAATAATTCCACAGACAATTGTATGAAGACTGAGAGATAGAAAGAGGAAGGTGGACTGGCTAAGGACCTCAGCACTTGAGGAACAACACAGCTATGAGTTCCTTAGTCTTCCTTTGAATCTCCCATTTATCTCCTTCTGATCACCAGAGAAACCTGCAACCTGTAATCACCAACAGACCCGAACAAATAGCAAACACCCCTAAGAAAAACCTGTTCTCTCCGGCCAAAGGGTCAGGATACAGGAAGCTCAGCAGGACAGAAACATTTTTGACAATACTCACTCTACCCCACCCGAACACCATGGATGAGCCCCTCCACGGTGTCAGTGGGACCTGAGTGGGAGTATAGATGCCAATGGAGAACTACAAGAAACCAATCCAGGCAGGACTACTTATGGCCCAGGCACTTCAAGAATGAAGGTTACAGACCCAAACAGGCAGAGAACCATGACCAGCTGAGGTGCTTGCTGAGGGCAAAGTGAATATGAAATGGGTAATGAAAGAAGGTAGTTATAAATACCAGATATGAAAAGGTGACCAGCTGCAAAAACATGGATTTGATTGTTATATTTCTTTCTTATTCAGTAATGATTAAGTTTGAGTGTGTGTATTATATATACACACACACACACATATATGTATATATATGTTAAATTTTCATGAATGCAGAAAACATATTGTGGGATATATGACCCAGGCTGCAAACGTGGGCCTCTTCTGGGTGGCTGTCAATGCATTTTTGTTCAATGGAAGCCCAAAGATGTAAAAAGTTGTCAGTCCACTTCCATATGGTAGGCACAAGACTTAGTAAATATTCCTACATGTAAGGTCACCTTTCAGGAGCCTCAAAGTCCTGCAGGAGAAACCACTCGGACACCCATGCCTTCCTCTGAACTCTAGACTAGC